AAAAAAATCGGGAAATTCACCCAAAACTTTGTTTCCCCTCTCTCGCGGGGATCGGCGGTGTCGGGGCAGATGCCGTGCGCAGCTGGCGGGGCGGTGGGCAGCGGGCGAGGCGCAGCGTTTGCCCCCCGTCCTCCTGCCCTGCCCCGCCGGGAGCTCCCCCCGCCGCCGAGGGGCCACCTGCCCCCGGTGCAGCCCCGTAGCTCCGCGCCGGGCTCCCGTGCCGCGAGAGTAATATGGCTGGTGCAGCAACTACACCGGGACTAACTCCTCTTCTCCCCCGCATGGGCAGGGATTTTTCTCTGCCGCCTCCTAATGTCGCACGGCAAAACGCGCGGCGCCCTCGGCTTTTATGTGCCCCCTTCCCCGGGTGGGCTCGGTGGGGCTGGCGGCGGTGGGAAAGTTGTCGGCCGTGCGCAGTGCCGTGCCCGCTGTTTATTCTGCATTAATATGGCTGTCGCTTTAGCATCTGACAGGGATAAACCCTGCGCGCTGCGCCCGGCGGTCCCGGCCAAGCAGTTTTTTYCTCGCCGCCGCCGCCTCCAAACTCCCCCGATCCCTTCGCTTCTGCCTCCGCTGCTCTTCCCCCGCCCGGGAAGGTGTCTTTGGTGGGGCTGCGCCCGCGGCGGAGCCCCGCATCGCCTTTTCCCCGCGCCGCGCCGCCCGTGCTGTGGGCATTAATATGGCTGGCGCTGGAGAGCCCCGGCGAAGGGAAGAAAGACGTGTGAGCGGCACAGGGATGGGGAGGGGGATCGCGGCGGGGAAAATCTCCTTCCCGGCGCCCCGCCGGGGGCTCAAACCTTTCGCTTTCGCCCCGGCTCCTCTCCCCCCACCTTCCTGTGCCCTCGGACGGGCTCCGGGGGGCCGCCCCGGGGCTCCCCGCACTCTTTTTCTGGCAGCGCGGAGGAGCGTAGCGGCGGCGGTAATGGCTGCACGGGAGCCTTTGTTAGAGAGCGCTGCGCTAGGCAGGGGCCGGGGGGGGGGGGGTCCCCCCCCGCCCCCGGCCCCGCCGCAGGTGCCCGCGCCCCGAGCCGCGGAGAGCGGCCGCCGCCGTGACCTTGGGGGGGCGCAGATGCGGGAGGGGCGCGGAGCGGGGCCGGGCTGGGCCGGAGCTGCCGTCGCGGGCCGCTCGCCCCCAACTTCGGAGCGGGGCCGGCTCCGCACCCGTGCCCCGCTCCGCGCCCCGGCCCCCGGTTCCGCGCGTTTTCCGCCCCTGCGGAGGCAGCGGCGTCCCGGCAGCGGCCGGGCAGGGCAGGGCGGCACACGGCCACTTCTGCTGCACCTGACAGRTTAATGGGCGCAACTAAATATTAACGTTGTGCGAATAAAAATTAAATTTTTGAGCGACTGAGAAGCTTTAAATAGAAAAAGACTGTTGCGGGCTTATGGTTTTTAATTTTTTTTAATTAAGTGTGAAAAATTTAATACGGAAGCAGGAAAAGAAATAGAGCCCAAAAGTTAGCACCATCCTTTCGTGACTTGGTGATTGCATCTTTGCACTGACCACTATGCCTCAAACATGTGTCACTTGGTGGAGCAAGAGCAAGCACAGCTCACCTCACAGGGCTCCACGGGTCCTCCTGCGGTTAAAGTCAGCCTTATTTGTGCCCTTTTTATATATAAATGGTTACTGCGCTTTTTCGGGGCAAMTAATTTGTCCTGCCTTTTTACCTGKGCAGCAGCTGCTAACACATGAGCTCTAGCTCCAGAAGGGATAAGTCGCTGCCTGGTGCTGTGCATGCCACTCCAGCCCCAGTGTGGTAGCCAACTAAAACAGATATTTTATMTTAGTTCATATATAATGCTTAATAGGCAGAAGTATGTGTATTTAATAGGCCGTCTCCAGTCTTTGGACATGATGTAAATAGATATTAATGCAACACTTAAATCCAGTGACTGGTTTCTCTTGGCTTGTCTGCAACCCAAGTATCAAGGAAGAATAATTTGAGTCTCTGTATTTGGGATGGCAGGGAGTGTTGGGGGACAAGAAAGGGATGTGYTGTTGATGGGCCATAATGTCAGAAGATGCTGTGGGATATGTGTGTATATAAATATGTGCACACCATACGTGTGTACATTCATAGGTATTATGCATTCATATATGTATAATTCACTTGATGTTTCTCCCCTCTTCCSTACAGAGTCAAGATGGCTAAAGGTGATCCGAAGAAGCCCAAGGGCAAGATGTCTGCCTATGCCTTCTTTGTGCAGACGTGCCGTGAGGAACATAAGAAAAAGAACCCAGAGGTTCCAGTCAACTTTGCAGAGTTTTCCAAGAAGTGTTCAGAGAGGTGGAAGGTACTGTAATTTGTGACTTCCCAAAGTGATAACTTCTTACGGTATCTTGTAGGATGATGTGTGTGTGTCTGAATGTGAAGGGGGCTGGTGCTGTTTTGGTCTGTGTGCCATTCTTGGCAATCTGTCCTGGCCATGGGTCGGGTGCTGCCAGAGCCTGTAGCAGTCCTGAATGTTTCAGCTGTGCGTATCTGCTTGTTTAGGTGCTCCCACTATAGTCTGGCCTTTTTTCTGTTCCCAAGCAATGCCCTTTGGCTGTTACTTCCTTCCAGGTGTGTGTCCTGAGGAGGACTCTGGCTGTGCTTGTCTCATTCCTGTTGCTTCCCTGTTGCAGAGTATGCTAATGGCTGTGATTTCCCGTACAGGACCTTCGTCCCCAAGGTGGTCCAGTTAGAAAACAAACAAATTCTGAAACTCCCGTATCGAGTTGATGTGTGTTGGCTTGTTTACATAAAGTTTGCCAGCTATTGAACAGTTGGGTAATCACAAGTTTGGTTTTTCATTTTTTGATTTTTTAGACCATGTCAAGCAAGGAAAAGGCTAAATTTGATGAAATGGCAAAGGCTGATAAGGTACGATATGATAGAGAAATGAAGGACTATGGACCAGCTAAGGGCGGCAAGAAGAAGAAGGACCCCAATGCCCCAAAACGACCACCGTAAGTAACTTGGAGGCATKAAATGCACAAGGGTTTTCATTCGTTTTCACACCCTGTATGTAACACAGATTTCCTTAAAGGAGGTGAATGGGGGGTGTGGTGTTGGTATGGCAAGATTGGTAATGATGCTGTCCTTGTAAACCTTCTAAACAGCTTGAGCCATGTGGAGCACTGACACAAATCGTCAGTGCTTGGTACTGTAGTGATGGAAGACAGAAATGTCTGAGTCACAATGAGATTTGTGTATCTAAGACGAAATTGGGTGGGGGGGATACAGAACACTTAATTTAAAAAGAGCATTGAGTGAAGACTGTAGGTCTGGGCCGCAGTAAAATCAAAACGTGGAAGTTTGTGTTTGATTTTATAAAAAAGTTAAAAAAAAGTTTCTACTCTGTGTGCTCAGACATGTGTGAATGTTGTGAATGAGGGATGGGGGAAGAGGGTGCTCCCTGGACCTGCTGCTGCAATGCTGACTGTCCTCTGGTTTTTCTCCCCAAGGTCTGGCTTCTTCCTCTTCTGTTCAGAGTTTCGCCCCAAGATCAAGTCTACAAACCCCGGCATATCCATTGGGGATGTAGCGAAGAAATTGGGTGAAATGTGGAACAACCTCAGTGATGGTGAAAAGCAGCCTTACAATAACAAGGCAGCTAAACTGAAGGAGAAGTACGAGAAGGTAAGGAGAGTTGTCACTTGTGYCTCCTCTGTTCCAGCTCTTGTGTTGATAGGTTTTTGTAGCAYAGGCCCAGCTTAGGTGGCCCCAGCATAGTGACAACTGAGCTTTGCAGAGGTTGGGGCAGAGCAGGATTGAGATGCACAGGCAGATTCCAGGAGGGAAAGCTTTCCCCAGGGATGATTCACAGAGGGCTTGCTGTGCTGTCGCAGGAGCTTTGTCCCATTATCAGGRAACTTTGAGAGGCTGYGTTCTCTTCTCCTCCTCAGAGAAAYAGCCATGAATGCAGAGTTCAAGGCTCCATGATCCATGAGCACTCTTAGGTGTCTGCATACCCGTGTGCTCCCCTGCTGGCTCTGTCCCCTCGGGGGCTGCAGCCAGGGAAGGCCAGTCCCTTTACCTTAATGCCTGCTGCTGTACAAATGCTGTGTGTGTTTGCTGCTTAGAGCAAATTAAGACATCCCCTTGACTTTGCAGGATGTTGCAGACTACAAGTCTAAAGGAAAGTTTGATGGCGCAAAGGGAGCAGCAACCAAAGCTGCTCGGAAAAAGGTAGAGGAAGAAGACGAAGAGGAGGAGGAGGATGAAGAAGAGGAGGATGAAGATGATGATGATGAATAAAACTGTACAATACTTGTCTCCATGTGAATACCATAGAGTAGGGGAAACACCATAAATGAAGCACCTCTTATTGGAGATGGTGTCTCTTGCCCTTATTAGGCTTAATTAAAAAAAAAAAAAATTGGATTCCGATCGCGTTGTAGTTTCTAAAAGTGCTCTAGAAATTGTAACTGGTTTACATGAAGTGGCCATGGGTGTAGTGAGCACCCTGAAACTGTATCAAAGTTGTACATATTTCCAAACATTTTTAAAATGAAAAGGCGCTCTAGTGTTCTCCTAACTCTGTGCACTTTGCTGTTGGTGTAACAAAGCATTTAAAAATGTTTCAAGCATTTTTTTAATTTGTAAGGTGGTGTTACTATATGGTTATTGGCTAGAAAATCCTGGGTTATAAACTGTACATATCTATAGTTTGTAAAAACTAGACAGATTCTTGTGGTACATGCTTAGAGTTATGATGCCTTAGAGGAGCAGTGATTACTTGGAAAGGCTGTACGTTCCCCGGGGTGCCATGGCCCAAAGCATGCACTGTGAGGGTAGATCTATTTACACTACAGTGGGCGTCCATTTAGCTTAAAGTTGTCTTTCTGTATATAGTGAAATAGCATTCTGCTGCCATTCTTAGTTGTGGAAGGGGGTTCAGCTGGCATGAGAAGTGTATGGATTTTTTTAGTTAAGTGCGGTAGTTTTTAAACTGAAACTGTAGACATCTCTTCATCATCAACTAAGTGAAGAGCCAGTGCAGCAACTGAAGTTCAAAAACACTCTGTACTTAAATAAATTTGCAACGTTCTGTTTTTTTTGTATGTTTAGAATGCTGAAATGTTTTTGAAGCAAAATAAACAGTATTACATTTTTAAAACTGTTCTTGACAACACTCTAAATTTCTGGTTTAAGAGGATCTTAACAACAGCAAGAGGTTCATTTTGAAGTCTGTGGCATCCCTCAGGGCTGGTGACTTAGGAAACATTCTGACTCAAGGATTAAAAAAAAATAAAAAAATTAAAAAATGGTGGCCAGCCAAAACTGGCTGAATTGAAAGAGATGGCTGCTCCAGCTAATATGCAATCGTAACTGTTTATGGCTGAGTGGCATTAGATGCTATGCAAGTTTGAACTTTATTACTTGAACTTGGGAGCCTAAATGAACATTCATGACGTAATTGTTTGTTTGTGTGTATATAGCAGCATTCAGAGATGCAGAGAAAGGTAGGTGGCTAGGAATGAGGCTGACACCATGGAATAAGTATAAAAGCATAGTTTGGATTTTTTTCAGTTGTGTTGGGTAAATTTATAGCCCAAATGCATTGCTGTACATATTAAAATGTGCCTTTTTTGTCCTGTGTTAAACTGTTTCAGACTTGTGGTTTTTTCTAGCCTCTTGTTTCGTGCCAGGAGCCAGGCGCCTTAGTCTAACTCCCTGCTGAAGTAGGAGTGTGGTACAGGTACTTGTTCTGTGTCCTTCCTCTAATGACACGAGTTTCAGTGGAGCTGGGGGCTGTGAGCTGGGGTGGGGGAGCAACAGGAGTCTCTGCCCTCTGGTCACCAGCTGGCTKTGCCAAAGTCTTGCCTTCTTTCCAAATCCAAGCTGGGGATGTTTTGCAGCACTTGGAAGAGAAAGGTAATACCTGGTCTTTAACTGGTGACTGTAACTTYGTTTTTCCTAAGCATGGAAACAGCATGAACTGGGTAAATAGAGCACCCCCTCACTACCCCTGAATTCCTTCCTTGTGCTGTGCTGGCTTCAGCAGTTGGTGTTTGCTTGGTGGAGAGGAGATGGGGTGTGAGGATACTCACATTAAGCAAGTCAAAGCTGTGGGCTGTTGTGCTCAGCTGATTTCAGAAGTCACAGTAACTCAGGGATGCAAACACTGGGTATGGGCTGCTGCCACCTCTGCTTTTGAGCTGACCTGCAGGTTAATGGGGTGCAGGCAGTAACTTTAGAATGTGGTTAAAACTTCTTAGTTGCCTAATTGAGAAGCACTTACGGCTTCTTCTGTCTTCTCAACAACCGTGAGTGCTTCTCACCAGCAACAGCTTGGCAAAGCAGTCTGATCCAGGGTTGAGGTGGACTAAAACCTGAAAGAAAAGTCATCAGAAAGGAGCAAGCTAAAAAACTTACATGAAACATAGTAGAATTTAGGAACTTYTGGTTTTAAGGCTAAGTGACAGTTGGATCACTCAGAAATACTTATGGGTGCTTAATTATGGTTAACTTTTAGTATCTATAATGCTTTACAAAAAAGTGAAATTTGCCCCTATTTAATGGGTAGTTGCATTTTGAAAGGCTCAATAAAGCTGCACCTGGAAAAGAAATAGGTACTTCTGTATTTGCTACTGTTCCATCATGCCTTCTGATGTGAGGGAGAAGGCACCTGGAGACTCCAACATGTGATTCTTGATGAGGAAGTGGTAGAGCAGCAAAAGAAAGTGATGGCATCAGTTGAGGAGGTCTAATACTGTTTCCATTGTCTGGTTGGCAAAATCTCCCCTTAGCCACATATGGGACTTAGTGTAGATCACTGCTGTGCAAATCGAGCTTGGCTTTGAATTAACTGCTGGTGAGCTGAGCCCTATTGATAGTATCAGCAAATGAGGACTAGAGCTGACACCTCTTTGTCTTCATTGTATTGGAAATCTATTTGAGTTGCAGAGCTTGATTAAGGTCTTGGACCTTACTGTGAACTACCTATTGCTGCTCTGCACACACCTAAAATATGGCATTCCTTGGGGATGCTGTTCAATACAGCAGAGTGCAGGACTCCAGGGACTCGGATTTGGGTATTGCAGATGTAGTGATGATGTGTCTTCCCTGAATACCCTGCTGTTGATAAATGCCATAGTGTGAATGCATATAAATAACACATCATTTCCCCCCGCACTGTTTTGTTTTCTGAGATGTCATCTCAAATATTGGGAGCTGCTTAATTTCACCCAGCTCTGTWATTTTAATAGAACACCCTCCAAATGCTCTTTTTGTCTGCTTTGAAATGCTCGTGGTGTTTCAGAGAAGACATTTCTGCTTTGTACTGCTGCACAACTCAGAGTCCTAGTTCGACTTAGTCCCAAGCCAGGCAAAGTAAATATGTCTCTTATTAACTCCATGATATGTAGAGAAGGGTAAAGATGAAATAGATTTGGGGGAAGGGATGAAGAGACAGTACCTTGCATGAATTTGACAGAGCTGACTGTGAGACTSCCTGTGTTTCCAAAATGTGATGTGTTGATCCCCCTTGACCTTGCTGGAGTCAGGCTGAGGGACCAGGGGCWCGGCTAAGAAAAAGGGATGGTGCTGATTCTGCAGTGGTTAAAACCCACTTGTTGTTGGGGGGAGGCAGAGGATGGYTTGATGGGGTGGGATGGTCCCTCTGGGTGCCCAAATGGGTGTCAGAGGTGTGATAAATTCTGCTCAAGAGAGTKTCTGATGGTGATGTGGGGCAGAGGCAGCACTGGCCCTTGTCCTGCCTGTCATTTCCAGTGGTTGGTGCTGTTTGGTCTGCACTCAGTGCTATCCATACTCTGGAGAGCACAGCTGCTACCAAAATGCACCACACCCYTCTGAAATCAAACCATCTGAGGGGCAGTGGGATGGACGAGGCTGCTGAGCTGCTCTGTGCAGAACAGAACCTGCCTCTGCTGAAAATGAGCCTGGGAGTCTTAGCATGACCCAGAGTCAGAGGAGCAATGCTCTCCCACTGCTCTGTAGTCTGCATATTCCAGAATTGAGCTGAGATGTGCTAAACACTTGGTGAGAGCCAAATCTGAGCACTGAGACTGTGGGGAAGGAGCTGCATTGGGGGAGTCCCTCTGTGGGTGTGGGGGTCACTCCACAAGCTGTCACAAGGAAAGCCACACTGCAGGATGGGTTCCTGCTGCTGCTCAGCACCCTAACACACCTGTGTGTTCATTTTTCTATAACAAAATTAATTAAAGAATCCTAGTACAAATGCAGATTGAATCAATTATCAGCGAGGGGCTGCAGCTCTAACGGAGTTCCATAGGACAGGGAGAGTGCATTGGGGATGGGGCTGAGGATACAAGCACAGTCAAAACATCTCTCATACCTGCTCCCTTTGAACAGCTGATTTTTAGGTAGTTTCACTCACTCCTAATAAACCCTGCAGGAGCAGCAGYGAGGTGCAAGGGCTCCCGTTGGTTCTGGCTCAGTGGTGGCAGGTGAATGGCTTTTCACTTCCAGCCTCCAGCATGATTCTGGCAGCCACCTCGAGTTTATGTTTTCCCTCTGCTCACTCAKGCTGTTGTTCCATAAGCAGAGGAACATCTCCCAAATCAGCCCTCTTCTGCTGCACATTTTGGGAAGCCTGGGTGAGGAGCTGGGATGTTTCCAGTGGGGCAAGAGCAGGATTCTGCATTTCCAGCCGTGGTTTCTGACTGGCTCCAGAGTCCCCTCTATGAATGTTCACYCAAGCTTGCTTTCCTCTAAAAGATAATGTGAAGAACTGTGACAAGTGGCATGTTTATTTCTTTCTGCTACCGGCTGYACCACATTTTAATGCAATAAACTGAATTGCAAATCACGGCAGCACTGCAAACAAAGTGTGCTGGAGCCCCTGTTACCAAGCAGTCGCTCTCTAAATGCGTGTCATTGCAGTGGGGAAGGGACTGAATAACCAGYGTACCTGACAGRGGGTTTGTGCCCTGTGAGGTATCTYCATCCCCTTTTGGCAGGCTGGGCTCTGGTGGGTGCCTGCCCCTGCTCGGACAGCATCTGATAACCTGTGTTTGAAGCACTCTGCAARCATCTCATCTTGCAGCAGGTCTGATCTGTATGTGCTAGAGCAATATGTGCATTGGGGGTGTTGTCTCCTTGCCTGTGCTAATGCTCTTGATTGCAGTTGTCTGCTGCTAAGAGCTCTTCCCCGAGTGCCCTCCTGCACCTGGATCCCTAAATTAGGCAGGAGGAAGCAGCACAGCCATACTGGAGCTGACAGCTCTGTCTCCTGGGTGGTGAGTAACTCCTTCTCGTGCTCCTGGATGTGGCACGGCCTCAGAAACGCCTGTGAAGTGGCTGAGCCAGGGCTSTGTGTTAAGCTAGAGTAGGGATGGCAGCTGACCTCCCCAGGAGCAGTGAGCTGGTGCTGTGGTGGGCCCTTTGGAGGCTGGGATGTGTAAAAGTGAGCATTTCCTTGCTGAGATGGAAATGCATTAACCATGGTAAAGGGCTGCCTGTCTGTAACTGCATCAGCTGAATGCAGCAGCCAGGCAAACCACAGCTGGGAGCCCAGCCTTGGTGTGGGGCTGGCTGTTTGGATGGTGTCTGTGGTTCACTTCTGAGCCCGTGAGAGCAGTGCTGCTGCTYTGCCTCCACACCTGC